ACCAGCGAGGTGAAGTCTGACTAAACTAGTATGCAATGACTACCGCATCTTCACGGACACAAGAGGCCAAGTTCGCGGTCATCTCAATCCCGGGCAGGTGCACTCAGTTTGTTAACACGTCTAGGTTCATGGGGCTATGATTGTCGCTAGGGAGCGAGGTGGCGGTGGCTGTAGAGATAGACAACAAAAAGGTCAAGTGATCGGATAAGGACGACTAGTTATCCTGTGAGACGACTAGAGAAGTGATGAATATTTGTATTTTAATCGGTGTTAACATTTTGATTTTTATTTTCTGGGGCTACACGAGGGGGCTGAGCTCAAAGAAAGGGGGAAAAAAATACCAACTACAAAGAATTTTTGTAAGAGAAAAGATTCCTGTGGAATCTTTTAATAGCGCCCCTCTGAGTTGACTTGACTGGTAAGAGAAAACCAAACCCCCTCATCTTTGGTTCATGCCAGATATCAAGTTAATAAGATAATTGATTGAGGCATATTGTTGTAGACGTGTTTAATTTTAATTTGTTATTATTGATTAATAAAAATTGTGATTTTTGAGATTATAAGAGGTTTGAAGAGATCATCGTTGCGATTATTCTTTATTTTATTCATCAAAATTTTGAAGTCAAGTTTACGAAAGACTTTTTTTATTTTATTCTCAAAGTTTTATTCAAAGTAGTTGTGGTAAAAATTAAGTTAATTAGATTAAACAAAAATAACTTTTGCTATTATCTTATCGTTATTATTAATTGTTATAAACTATAATGTGTCATGATTTACTTTGAATTCAATGTTTAATAAAAAAAGGTGTATTAGTCAAGATCTTATAAACTTAAAATATTTGCCCATTTTGATGTTGAGAAGGGATGATGTTATTATGGTTGGGCAGCGTTTCTTGCCGGAGTTTGAAACTCCGTTTAGTTGGTATTTTATTAGTGACGAGAGAATTTAATAAAATGAGACCTTTTCAACATAAAAAATAAAAAATGGGATAATAAGCCACCAAGTATATATACCATTATATTATCGAGATAGATTTCTTATTTCAAAGTGATTGACCAAAGTGAATTACATTAATTTGACTAGTATTTGTATATAATTTCTGGGAAATATGAACCTCTTAATTTAATTATTTTACGGGGTCCAAACTTTTTTTTGTCCATTAAATGCACATTTATTTGTTCAATTTTGCGTGTAAGAACATCCAAATAAACAGAAGGATGATGTTAACTACTGCAACAAAAATATCAACTCCTACCCTCTCGGGCTCCGTCCAAAATTTGACTTGTGGATTTTTCTCATTTCTGAAGAAAATTAGGAGGCAAATTAAAAAATCACAACTACTTCCCATCCCACATATGAAATTGTCTTTCCTTCCGACGCATTGGAAAATTCATTCGACTTGTCGGGAGGGGCCCCATATTTTCTAGAAATTATAATTTTCCCTCAATATTTTTGTAACTTTTGGTACTTGTCGGTGAAAAAGAAAAGTGTACATATATATATATATATATATTCATTAATTTCTCCCCAAAATAATCAAAATTCTTATTTTAAAATCTTAATATCTCTTCATTTTGTACTTAATATATATGATTTATTTTATTTTTTATTGATTTGATACCCAAAATTAATTATTTAAAATTTTGATTTGAATCCACCTCGATGTGTGTTACATTATTTTTATTATTATTATAAGAAGAGAGCAGGTTAAAATTATAATTTGCATTGAAAGCAAGCCAGATATCTTGATTAATTCCAGCCGAAATGAGAAAGGTGACCATGAAATCAAGTTGAACCTGGCTGCCTTAGAGGCCAGGTTCGCCCGTACATTGTCTTCTTGCAAACTCCATGGCTGCTTCGAGCTGATCACTATTGCACCGCCTGTTTGGAATTTCGGAAAACATTCAATCTTTTAGATTTTAAGTTACTAAGAATAATCCACTGTCCACATTCTCTGAATTTAGTTTATTTAACGTTTTCTTTAAGGGTGGTGTGCCCTCATATTTCACAAAGAGATACAGTTTACATATGTCAGTAGATATAGGCCCCCCTACACTGTAAAAAATGTAGGTACTATCTTTAGACAATATCAAATAAAACAGCCGAACATTTCAAATCTGTTTGTATTAATTATAAGAATAGTTAAAAAGTGTTAAATTAATGTATAAAAGTTTAGAATATATACAATTTATGTTTAAAAAAATTTGAATTATTTCTGATTATAGTATTAATTAAAAGAAGTAAGAGCATATGTGTTTTAACTTTCAACTTAAGTTTAGAAAAAAAAAAGTAGTTCCAAAACACTAAATCCAAATGCGTAAAATCACTTTTTTATAATTAAAAGTTGAAAATTGTTATTATCACAAAATACATTTAATATATTAAATTTTTATAGAAATTTTAAATATTAAAAGCTTTAATTTAAAATTAAGATTTTATTTTTTATTTAAACAAACAAACAATTTTTTTCTTCTTTCAGAAAAATGACCATTCATTTGGATGGAAAGTTGAGAGTAATTAGACGGGTCTCTGCGTCTCCCAAATTGCCTGAAAGTAATCACATGCAACGGCTGAGATAATCAGATCGGATTGACTTGTAAAACCAAGGGACCCACGAACAGACAAAATGGTTTTGGTGGGTTGTAGAGAACGTTGATGGAGGGGGACGTTATTTGGACCAGGTTCATTTGCTTTATACTCGTTGATTGGATACAGATATTTATAAATTGCCCACACGTCTTTATAATACTCTCTCTCTTAATCAACCATACCACTGCTGAATGAATCTTATCCCGCCCCCTGCAAGCTCTCCCAGCCAGCATAGAAGTTTGTATTCCAGAGAGAGAGAGAGAGAGAGAATGGAGAGGGGTTTACAACAGGGCTTCGGCAGGAAAGAGGAGCTGTTACACGTCATCCATAAGGTTCCCTCTGGTGATGGTCCCTATGTTAAAGCCAAACATTATCAGGTCAGGATTACCCCTCCCTCCCTCCTTCTCTCTCTCTCTCTTAATTTAAAGGGTTTGTTTGGATGTTGAAAGTAATTCCCTGCTTCAGCTTAAGCTCCTCTCTCTATAGATACGTTAGAATTTTGAAGATCTAGTGATGCTAAAGGTTTTCTTTATAGTTCTTCAAGCGAATACATTGCAGCAAGCCACATGAAATCCTTAACAACATAGAAAGTGCCTCTTTGTCTCTCTCTCTCTCTCTCTCTATATATATATATATATTAGAGAGAGAAAGAGCATTTGTCTGTTTAAACAGGCAATTAAACAGGTTCATACACTATATAATCCTCGAAAGTAAATAGAAATTTTATGATTAGGTGCATTAATAATGTGTTTAATCACTTAAATTTAAGAATAAATGGTATTGAATTTTTTAAAAAAATAAATTTAACTTGTTATTAATAAAACGTTAAATAAATTTAATAATAGAATTAATTCCATTATTAGTTCCTTTACTAATTTAATTATTTGAATTTTTAAAGTTTAGTACTTCACCATTTTCATATTAAAGATTTCAAAGTACTTAATTTCTAATTTTTTCAGACAAGGTCCTAATTTCAATAGAATAACTCTAGCAATGTCATGTTTGGTGGAACATCAAACTATATGTACGAGGTATAAGGGAATAACGTTTACTTATTTAATAACATTAAGAACAGTTATTAAAAAATTATTTAAGATTTTTAATTTGTATTCTCATTAAATTACTTTGCAGAATTTAAGCTGCTTGAAACATTTCAATATAATTAATAATTAATTAACAAGATTAATTTGAGGCTTGATTAACTACTCCAAAAACTAACCATGTTGTGTAGATTGTGTTGGTTATTACAACCCCACCCTCCTTCCTTTAGTCCTAGGCATTTGTGTAAATTAGAAGTCCAATTCACCAACGTTAATCGTTGTAGTTGTAGTTCAGTTTCTAATAGACAAATTTGGACTGATTTATACAATGCACCTTTAAATTTTAAATTTTTGCACTTTACACCTTAACAAGGTAAAAAATCAAAGGGTATTAGGATGCAAAATACAAAAATTTAAAATTTAAGGGTACATTGTACAAATTACCCATAAATTTGCCTTAATTTTGATTATTGGATTAAGAAAAATATAATAAGAACCATAATAAAAATAAAAAGAATCACATGATAAGTAGAAAAAAATAAACTTACATTTTTAATTTTGCCTTAAATTGCTGGCTAATCATCTAAAATTACCTTTAAATCCTTAATTATCCGTTACTTTGGTACTTATTTTTCATTATAAACTCTTTCACTCATACAATAATTTTCTTTCTTTACAATTATCACCTTAATCGTTGGTTTAAACTCTTTAAATTATTTTTATTCATAAATAAAATCAAATTAATTTAAAAAATAAGTAATAGATGTGAGATAAGTGTTATAACACTCATATCACGAAAAAAAAAATCAGATTTATATCTCTGAAAGCACACATTTAGATCTCAAATCTTAGAACAAATAAGTATATCTTAAACAAAAAAATAATGAAATTAATCTAAAAAATATAAATCAGCTTACTATTTTTGAAAGATATATTACGCATATGCATGCATGTATGGATTAGTGACGTGGGTTTGGAAATTAACTTAGGGTTTGAAATGTAATTAAATGAATTCAGCTGGTAGAGAAAGATTTGGAGGGAGCAATCGTATGGTTCTGGAAGGCAATAAACGCAGGAGATAGAATTGATAGCGCCCTCAAGGACATGGCCGTAGTGATGAAGCAACTCGACCGGTCCGAGGAGGCCATCGAAGCATCAGATCTTTCCGCTCCCGCTGCTCCAAACAAGCCCAGGACTCCCTCGACAACATCCTTATCGACTTATACAAGGTATGTATGTATATATATTTACTTATATATATATATATAGAGAGAGAGAGAGTGGCAATTTGTATAAAACAAAAATAATATGGGCGAATTTGATAATGTTAAACAAATGTAAATCTTATCAAACAAACCATAAGAGTAGGGGATGGAAGATGTTAATTGTGAATTAATGTGTTTGCAGAAATGTGGGAAAGTAGATGAGCAGGTAGTGCTGCTGAAGCAGAAGCTGAGGATGATATACCATGGAGAGGTTTTTAATGGCAGACCCACTAAAACTGCTCGCTCTCACGGCAAGAAGTTCCAGGTTTCTGTCAAGCAAGAAACCTCTAGACTTTTGGTATATATGCCTTCTTCTCCTCCTCCACTATATAATCTATTTCATAAAATAATCAATGTATAATTAAAATTATTATTAATTTATTTATATTAAAAATAAAAAAGTGTTAAATTAACAGCAAACTTGTTTATATAAATAATATTTTTATATTTAATACTAAATTCTGACAAATTAACTTATTGATCTTAATTATAATTTGATCAATATCATATATTAATTCTGATATTGATTTAATAATTATTAAGATTTCTGACTCAGAAGTAATACAAAATTTTTGAATTATAAGAATACCCTTGCCACGTTTAAGTAAATTTTATTTAAAAATGATTTTAATCACACTCTTTTTACGAAAATGTCATCGAGCCCGAATGTTCCATTCCGTCAGTTTGACCAATTCAGCTCTTAACTGTGACAGGGAAATTTGGGCTGGGCCTACATGCAAAAGGGCCACTACATTGCAGCGGAGGCAGTGTACAAGAAGGCCCAAATGATTGACCCAGATGCAAACAAGGCCTCAAACTTGGGCCTGTGTCTAATAAAGATGGCCCGGTATGACGAGGCCCGTCTAGTGGTCGAGGATATACTACAGCGCAGGCTTCCGGGCTCCGACGATGCCAGGGCAATAAACCGGGCCGAGGAATTGCTTTCAGAGTTGGAATCAAGGCAGCCTCCCCCGATTCTTTTGGAGTTGGCGGGCCTTAACATGGATGACCGTTTGGAGGATGAGATGGATAGATGGATCCAAGAATTGGGCCCGTCCAGATCCAAAAGGCTTCCAATTTTCGAAGAGATATCCACTTACCGAGATCAATTGGCATGTTGATGTGATTCTTTTGGGGGCATTGGAGCGGTGATACGGGTCATTTGGTGTTTGAAATAATGGGCCTGCGCCCAAAATGAATGCAAATCTCAATGCAATGTACATAAGGAGCTAGAGACGTAGAATGTAGAAAATGGGTTTCCTTTTCCCTTTTTTTTTTTTTTTGTATTTACTCTCGTAATGTAAAAAATGGGATTTGAAACAAAATTTGAAATTTGAAACTCAAATTAACAGTGATCCATCAACCATATATGTACAAGTAATATAAAAAAAAAAATTAGCCAAAAAATAATTGATAAAAAGGGCATTGGTAAAAAATTAAAGAAAAATCAATTATCAAGATCCAACAAAAATAATTAGAAAAATTGTTTACAGAAACCACTTCTAATGCATTCTTTCTTGCAAGAAGATTGTAGGCCAAGAAAAACTAGAGGAAGTGGAACAGTTTAAAGGCACCGTTGTGTTCTGCGTTCCTGGCTCATTGAGAAAGGCTAGGCTGATTGACCTGGAAATATATGTTTTGTGTGTGTGTTTTCACAGTTATTTTGAGAGCTGAATAAACCATATAACAGTTACTTTAATAGGCAATGGAGCAGGACATCATCCATAAATTCCTCCATTCATTTTTGCTAAAAATTCACGGGTCAATTTCTTGTTAAAAAATATTACTTCTCATGCCGAGATAAAATTAAGATAAGTATTTTTTTATAAATAAAGATAAGATAATTTATTTTAAACATATGTATTCATTAAAAATTAAATATTATAATATTAATGTAAACTAATTATGCCATTCTATGTAAATATTTGCATTTCCCTTGTATCGCTCTTATACGTAAGAAGGGCACAAGCTCTCTGCGAGATAAGTCTGCCTAAACAACGTAATTCTTGCGGGGTTAAATTCTAACGCACGAGCAAGTCGTCGAATTTGGAATAGGAAATGGAATGCAAATTGCCACCAACAAGTGGATGTCATCATAGTGCGAGCATCTCTGTGATGAATGTTCCCCGCAGGCAAGTGGGCTTACTGTACAACCGGTGTGGTGGGGTTTCAAAGCACGTGGAATCAGTGAGGCAATCATAGAAGTTCTGGGTTCTTCTCCTCCATCGAAAATTATAGATACATCTTGCAAGAGGAACCCAGAAAATTACACACTTGCAACCGCAGAGCTCAGAGAGAAACCTGGTAAAAGCACACGCTCCATCTAACAAATCCTCGCCCACTTCAGAATTTCTTTCCAAATTAATGATTCAGATTTTTCATCTCATCACATTAAATATTTAAATTCATTTTCCTAGACAAGTTTAGACCATCCAGAAACATTTGTCACCATTCTCAGGAGAATTTTTTAAAAACTATTTTCAAAAAATGCAAAAATGTTACTCTCAAAATTTTGTGAAATTATTTTAGCGCCAACTTACCAAATTCTAAACCTTGTATACGCGGGCAAACTTGAGTAAAGGATGTGTACAGCCCTACCAAGATGACAGAGATAATAGGCAGCAAAATGACAAAGTAGAAAGCAAAGGCCAGCTTCCAAGCATCAGATGATCCTTTCACTAAGATCAAAAGAATATAAGATCGCAAACTATACAAGTACTGTCTTACAAAAGGCAAACTATTACATATAAAGGGTAATTGTATCACCAAAAAATTATGGGCAAACACACAAAAAAGGAATATCAGACCAGTAGAGGGCTGGAATCAGCTATCTTCCTAAACAAAACCACACGGATCAGCATGACTAGTTAGATTTGAAGCCTTTGGTAATAGATAGAACTATGATCAGAATTAATGCAATGATAATGCCAAGAACTATAAGCTTTATCTTCATATTCTGTAACCACATTTTCCTCCTCATTTTAGTACCCTGAGTCCTGAAATCTTGTGCCTGCAGAAAGTTGCAATTAAAGCTTCACATTACAAACTCGATAATAATGAGAGAATCTGATCAAAATTTGATAGTCATGGGATAATGAACACAAGCTGCCCGATTTTGTTTGTTGCTTTCTAACATTCAAATCTGGGGCTTTTGTTCCCACACAGTTTTTAACTGTGATACATCTATTTTCAATCAATTCCAGGTGGAATTCCATCAGCCAAAAAACACAGAACACACCCATTTAAAATTCAATTCATAATCAAATCACTATCCAATTTTGAGTTAAATTGCGTGATAGGATTTACTGACCTGAGAGTGAAGGTTCTCTGTTTTATCCACCAGAAGCTCAATCTTCTCTCCTCGGTCAAGAACCTGCAAAATCAGAACTTACCCATAACTACATGAAATTTTAAAGCTTTTCCATACTGATCCAATGATAAAAGACTAGCACCAATTTTAAAGCTTTTGGTCATTAAAATAGTTCAGTCTTGCCTTCTCAATGTTTTCCATCATCACGCCTTTGACTTCTGAAACCTGAGCCTTCACTTGTGCAAGCTTGCTGATCTCTTCCGGATGGTCCACACAGTATTGCATCTGATCCTTAAGTTTGGGTCTGTGGTTGAGCATCCACAATATGTATCAAAAACAAAAAAAAAAAAAAAAAAGAAGGAAAAACTAGTTGATAGAAAATATATAACTAGCGGGAGGCACTTACCCAAACTCCCTATTCAGGCTACTGGCAGTAGCTGTTGCAGCTTTTCCGCCACCATATCTCTTGGTAAAGTCTTCCTTAATTCGCTCAAGAAATGCCATAGGAACTTGTCTTCCAGCAGATTCAACAGCAACTACACAGTAAGCTGCAACATTTAACAAATGAAATTAGTTTCAGATATTCTGGGGGATGAGGTAAAGAATGGAAAAAATGGGGAATTCAAGTGAAAGATGGAGGAAAAAAAAACTCATGAACAAAATTACAAACTAAAAAAGGTACAACACAAGCCAGAAACGTAGTAATAAACCAAGCAAACAAATCGTCAAATTCAACTGAACCAAAGTCCAGTCCCAATTTATTCTCAATATCACAGTTCTGTCACTAATTGGCGGATAAACGCATGTTGATGTAATTTGTTAATTTTGTCAAAAAAGAATTGAACTCTTAAATACGCAATGGCAGGGGCTAAAATTATGAACTCTGTATTACGAGTGAGCTGGATCCGAGATGCACAAAATAATATTAGCACTAACAGATGCAAATAAAGATAAATGTTTAACAGGCAACAAACACTCGTGAAATGCACCATATCAATCTCAGATAAGCACAGTGAAATGTAGAACAGTGTTGCTTATCATTTGCACAAAATTATTTACAACCACAAACTGAAAGAAGATAAAGAAGTTTAGATCCCCTAAGATACGGACTAGACTTCATCACGTCCTGAATATAAAGAAAGGATCTATGAATACAAAGAAAATATATGTGCATCTAATCAAAGAATCGAGTCTGAAATTTATTCTCGGAACAGAATCGAGGCAATAAAGAGTAGCAGAGTAAATTATTAATACGGGCAAACAGATTGGATCCCCAGATCATGAATATATATATCTTCGGTCAGAAAAGAACTGATATCAGCGCCAAAAAGAGAATTAAACAAAACGAGGAAAATGAGGATTAAAGACTGCCCAACTTTCATATAAGTTGAATTTCAGCAGAAACCAAATCACACTAGCAAACTACAAAGCGATGGTATACAGTCAGGTATTGGATCATCAGATCAGCGAACCAAGGATTAAAACTAAAAAGAGGTCAAATATTATTGACGCCCTCAACGAGAAATTGAGGAGAAAAAGATGCGAGACTCACTGAATCCGTCCTCGACGAGATAATTGAAGGTGTGGCCATCGCAGTTATAGGTGAACTTGTTGTTGGTGGAAGGGAGCTTCTGGAGGCACTGAGAAGCGATGCTGGTGAAGTTACCAGTGAATTCTGTGTATTCGGCCAGAATCAGCGTTCCTCTGGCCACGAAGCTGTAGATCAGCGACTGCTGGCCCATCTCCCACGCTCACAAACAGCAAACTCCAGAGAGACGATGGCAAAATAAGATCTATGGAGATAAGAATAGGGGAGAGAGAGGTAGGAAGAAGCGTGAAGACGGGGTAACGAAGAATCTATGGGTTTGATTTTACAGCGACACGGAGAGAGAGGAGAGCGGACTCTTCCAGTTTGCTTACCTTCTATATTTTTAAAATGGGATTGCCGAACGCATAGCCGAACTGTAGCGACCAGTCGAATTACTTAACAACCCTCTTACTTTCATGGAATGACGAAAATGCCACCCACGGCGAGGCCCCTCGGCCCGCAATCTCTCTTTTTCCGCCCTCTCTGGGTCAGCCAAGGCCGTTTTAGTGTTTTGGAATCGGCCCATTCAGCAAATTGGGCAAACGCCTTGTTTGGCTAGATATACAAGAAATCCGTAAATTTTAAATTAATAATTTAATTAATTCTTATAACTAATTATTCGAAGATAAATCCCCAACCAATAGAAATTTGAAATTTTATTTTGTTATTATAATTTAAAACGTTCCATGTGAGATTAATGAAACCAAACATGGCCTGCGTAGTGGCCAGATAAGAATTTGACGGTTGAGACAAGTACCCGTCGCTTACTTTTGTTTAGCCGAACCCCTTGACCGTCAAATCACCAAACTCGGGTCTTCTATATTTCAGCTCGGTGTCCTAATTTATTTTCTCAGGAGGGAGAGAAGGAAAAAGCCAGACGAAGACATGATGAGAGGACTTTCAGCATCCCCACCAACATCATCCGCCACCGTATATACTCTTTTTTCGCCCAGCTCCCACACTAGGCATTCCTCTCTTCACTTCTCTGCTGTTATTCCCCGTTTGTCAAATGAACACTATGGTCTATCTTCCTCAGATCTCAAGCCGGGCCACATCAGATTCGGCGGAGTGCTTCCAAACACTGCCTTGAGATGCAATAGCAGCACCAGACCTGGGGGTCCTGGACCTGGTACTACCTCTATATGCTTCTGTGCCTCATAGAACAACGCCTATGTTGTTAATTTTGATAGGAAATAATCGGTTTTTGGAGGAATTTTGCGGGTTGATGATGTGGGTTTCTCTCGAGAAGTGTAAATTTGGCCGGTCCTTTTACTTTCTTTCGATTTCTCGGAAGAAAGATCTAAATAGGTGGCTGTTTCTATGGAATTTATTTAGTTTTTTCTTTCGGCGACTTCTGGATGTGCGTCCTTCTCTGTTCGTTGTGATGTGAAATTGGTCGATCTAGGGAAATTTTTGAACATGTGGAAAAATTTTTGTTCTAATGGAAACAAATCATTAACTAAATTGAGATTTGTATCGGAGTTAAAAAGATTGAGGAGGAGAAAAGGTATAAAGGTGTTCTGAAAAAGCCATTTTTACTTGCATAATTTCAGAGAGAGAGAATCAGTGATCGTTTTGCCGAATCTATGATAGCATGGGGTGGATGCGCTTCTAATAGAGTTAACCACTTCATGTATCAGTTGTGGCAGCGTGATTGATTATAGTCAAGGAATTTGCTTTTGAGCTTATCTGCAAGTATCTATTTGAGTGAATTTCGTAAGTAATTACGGTAATCTTGTGCCAAAAGGTATCTATTTGAGTGAACTTCATAAGTGATTATGGTAATCTTGGGCCAAAAGGTATAGGGGTCGTAGGGACTGAAGTTTTATGCTTCCGATGGCTCTGATTAATTGAGTCATGGGTGGTTGTAAGCACACGATAATGTTGTAGTATCATTTCAAGGTCCAGCCTGATATTTTTAGCTATAATTGTTTATTTTTCAAGTAGTCTAAATAAATGGTGCATGCTGAAATTTTCAGGTGAAAGTGATAGTAGAAGTGTTCTGGATGCTTTTTTCTTGGGAAGGCTCTAGCAGAAGCACTTAATGAGCGTATTGAGTCCGCAGTGGGGAGTTTTTGAGTGCTATTGGTAGGTTGCAAGCAGAGCAGCGGAAACAAGTGCAAGATTTCCAGGTAACAATAAACTTCTAAAAGAAATTCTGGTCTGCTAGGAGTTTTGGAAGAGTAGATCCTGTAGGTGGTCGTTGTAAAGTGTAAATTACTTATTATTCTTACGGCTGTAGGGGAAGAATGCAGCAATTTGTCAGTTATTAAAAAAAATGTCTTGTTCTCCTAACTTGCCTTTGATTTATGAATTTCTTTAAATCCAGAGTGAAAAGAAGAAAATTCTCTATTTTCCTGGTGTAAAAAATGCATTTTATTGGATTTATCACTCTTCCATTCTACAGCAGATGTTATAGCATCTCCCATTTTTTCTCATTCCACAAGGAATAATCATTTTAGTTGTGGCCTTAGTTTTGCTAGTTGCATAAGTAATGCATTCTCATTATTGAAGAACTTCGATGTTTTGCATTGACTTTCCTTTTAGAATAAGAAACATACGACCACTGTGAAAGTTTGAGGCGAGTGGACATGTTTTGCAGAAAGTTTGTGCAAGGATTGAATGCAGCCCTCTAGCATATCTGTAGAGATAGAATACCCTATATCTGCAGAATGGTTAAGAGACCCTCTTCGATTTGATTTAACTTTGTTAGGCAGTATTTATCGGAAAAGGCACATACTTAGATTCTCTGATTCTCAATACCCATGCAGGAGGATGTATTTGAAAGAGCCAAGAAAGCCAAGGAGAAAGCTGCGCGGGAAGCTCTGGAAGCACGAGGGCTTATTCCCACGTCATCTCCGGCAGATGTATCAGCTTCTGCAAGAAATGGACCCTCGGCCACGGATGTGACAACACAAGCAAGTTCACCATCCTCCAACTCAGGTACTGCCAGCATCGACACAGATCTGGAACCTAACGACAAGGACTCCCTTCTAGGGGTGTCAACCGAGGACTGATACTAGTGTCTTGTATTCTGAAGCCCTGCGCCAACCCCTCCCCCTTCCCAAAAAAATAAAAAATAAAAAAAATGAGGCAATTGGGGGCTGGAACACCGATATTAATGCACCATATCTCTATGCCATCTGCTTTAGTTTGACGAGATGTATTTTGAACTCGGCACCACGTTGTGTCTGCTTTGTGGATTCACCATGCGGTCAGAAGGAAGAAGGCTATTTCCAAATTAATACCCAAAAAAAGAAAAAGGAAAAAGAAAACAAAAGGTTGAATATCAAAATTTATATAAACTGGATTGCAGTATGCATAAGTTATGGTGAATAAGAGCTGTGATAAGGTGGAAGTATTAGAAAAATATGCTGCCCTGGCACACCCGAATCTGCTGCCTTCTGAATGATATTTTCCATACCAAAAAAAAAAAAAAAGAAAAAGAAAAAGATCAGAGAGAGAGAGAGAGAGAGGCATGTTGCCTTATGAATAACTAGACCTTTGAAACTAATGGTTCCAAAAATAGGTTTGTGCACGGTTAACAATTAATATGGGAGTTAAACAAAAATCTTCCGAATGAAAATGCCTGAATCTTGCACTGGGATAATGATGCCATTCTGCATCATCCACTACTTATTTTAGTTTTAAATCACTAGAAAATAATTCATACAATGTGATGAACAAATCAATCAGGTAAAAAGATGCATTAATTCCATTGCTTTTAGGTAACATGAATCACAAAACTCTTAGGTCTGCGAAATAAAATATTATAAAAAATAAAGCAAAATACACAGCAAGCGTTCAAGCATTCTGCTGTGGTCTATATGCTTCTAATCATCGAGCTCAACTCCAGACGTAAGTACGTCAAATCTTGTTTGACTGCTAGCATCAACCTTCTCACTCTCCTCACCAAGATCCATGGCAGATTCTGTCCTTGCATAATCCACCTTGAAGTCATAATCATCATCCATACCATCCCCCGATAGTTTATCTGCCTTTTTCCGCCTCTTCTTCTCAGCTTTCTTAAGCTTGGTGTTAAGCATGCCTTCTTCGGCATATAACTTTTCGTTCTGTCTGCTACCGGCACTTCTGGCCCGGGGTTTGGGTGCAACATCTTCTTCAGAATCCATGATCTCATCAGCACTATTATCAGTTGTATCATTAAGCTGATTGTGGCTTTGAATCGAGGGTTGGGACTTTGTTTCAGCCTGTAAAAAAAATATTAAGTCCAATTCACACTTCCCATACAATAATTGAGAAGAAATCAACCAAATAATTTCAGTCATGAAGAAAACCTCTATCTCAAGCATCTGCTCGTCAAAATTAAGAGGGCCACATGAAGGAACTTCAACATGTTTTACATCATCCACAGGCTTGAGACTCCCAATAAATGAAGATTCACTACCGTAAACCTCATCAATGTTGAACTCCTTTGCAAATTCTGAAACAATTTTTGCTTCTGATGGTTCTCCCTGATTCCTTGTTGGAGGCATTGTATAATATGCAATTTTACCTGAAAAGGAAAATATTAACAGAGAAAAGTTACTATTGAGCTACTTCACACACACAAATATAGCTTTAGTTCCTACTTGTGTGTACCTTCATTCCAGTCATGCAAAACTATCCTTGCAGCAGCTTCAACATCCACAACACCACCCTTTTTGAGCTTACCCCTAACGGTAGCCAGCTTTTGCAGAAAGTCGTCAACTGAGTCAAAGCTTGGGAGCTTATATAGCGTTACTAACATTCTTTTGGGGCAAAGTTTGAGAATTTCCTTCACTGAAATACATCAAATTGTGAAATATGAGTTGGCAAGGAAAATAAAATAAAGCATCCAACTTTGGTGAACTAAGTCCTGGATACAAGTTGTCTATTCCAAGAAAACAGCCAAAAAACTGATGGCAAAAAAGAGAAACAAAAAATAACGAAACAATCTCGAATATTAGGATATGCTATTCAAATAGTAAATAGAAAAACTTCTTGTCATAAATTTAAACCATCTAAACAAAGCCCAGTATTGGCAGGGATTAATAAGTGGCTCTGGTCATCAAGAAGGCTCCATCATGGCCATCACATCCCACAAGATATTCTGACTTGAACACATACAAGATGCCAGCAGAGAGCTTATGTGGCAGAACTGCATTGGCATCTCAATTTCTATGTTAAATTTACTATACCATCAACTAACACAATCACAGCCATCTTGAAAGGTAGTTATTAAGAATGGGCCAAGAAAAACCCTAGCTATGTAACTCTAGAAAGGGCAACAGCTTCAGTTTTAAGGACAAGATACTACATTATTTTGCCTATCTTATCTCCTTTTGGTTTTGATGCCAATCTTTTCCCAGCATCAGATTTAAATGAGCAAACTAGGTCTGCAATACGACTAGCATTGAAATGATTGCTTTCAACTGGTCAAATCAGGTTTTCCACTCACCCAACTGTTCAACCCAAACCAACCATCATAAACCATGCCAAAAATCCAAGCCTTAGGTGAAAAATAATAACAGACCAACTGTGCCCCAGAAATATAATTACAGAAGTCAACAATCCCCTTAAGTTGCATGGAAAATGCCCTCAATCATTAAGCTTTAGCTACTCAAATACTTTACAACAATATGCAAAATCAAAATAAAGTTGGAAAGAGAAAAAATTATTACCTGGTCCAATTGGGTCCTCTAATTTCTCAATCTTCTTACAATTTCGAAGAGCCACAGATGCCTCATTCTCCTGTGACCTAAGCATTACAACACCAGGGCAGTCCAACAATTTGATATTCTTATCTAAATGAACTTCCTGCAACGATCTGGTCAATCCGGGAGTAGCACCAACATTTACAACCTGAGATCTCTTCAAGCTGTTGATTAAGCTACTTTTCCCAACATTAGGGAGGCCAATGACACCCACTGTAATTGACTTTTTGATCTGTCAGGAATAAGTGATTTGGTGTTTTAGAAAATACTGCAGCTAGATAAATTACAAAACTACCATAACAACAAAGAAACTGGTATTTGAGGCAGATGGCGTGTTAATGCAATTAATAAGATAAACAGGATTTTGTATTGTTTACTTAATCATCTTTCAGAAGTTGAGCATCTCTACTTATATACAGTGTTGTGAAAGGCACAAGAAGGCGCCATTTAGGCACAAGGTGCCAGCATAGGACAGTAACCTAAGTCCAGGAGAAAGTTTGGATAGCAAAAGCACAATGCACTACTAAGGCCCATTGGAGATAATATCAGGACATAAAAGAATCTCAACACTGTTTGATTTCAGGTGTATTCCTAGTCAAGTGTAGCGTTTTGTAATAAAATAGGATAAATAAATAAAGTGACACATTTAAATGTTCAATGTGTTCACATGCCCATATGCAACTTTTGTATAAATCTTCCCAGATCCAAAATTCAACGGTTTAGAATCATCAGACACTCAGATATACACCCACACCCAGACATGTACCCAAGTCCATTTAACATTGCATGCCAAAGTACACAAATGTTTTGAGTTATAACAATGGAGAACTCCTTAGCTAATACAAGCATGTCTCGTATCTTAAACAAAACAATTTAGAACCAATACATTGAACATCCTAAAAAGATCTATTCTATTCTAGAGTACCTCATGACTTCTTGAGTAATTTTTTAGCAATTTAAGAAGAGTATCAGCTCCAAGACAATCACTTGTCTGCAGGAGATCACTTGATTTTGCAGCCTTAGAAGCAGACTTCCAACCCAAGTTTGACCTTTGCTCCTGGGTACTGCACTTGAAGGCAACTGCTGGCAACTCCTCCCTGAGATACTTCAGCCATTTTTCAACAGCTTCTCGGGGTACTAGATCTGATCCACATAGAGATTAAACTTTCAACGCATGTCTCGCATTGAATAATGGCCTCAATGCCTAAAGATAGAAGCTATTGTTTTTCACCATCTTAGAGAGGCAAATGATGATTGTAGGATAGAATTAAAAATATGATATATAAAGCTCAATACATATTCATTTACATACTTTCAAGCTAGAATCCCAACCCCCACCCTCCAAAAAAACAACAGATTTTCTCTATCATGATCTGTCAGAAGTCCTCTTTTCAATGTTGGCATGAACATGTGAACGGGCTCACAACTATTGATCAGACCCCAATATAGACAGAGCCACAAAAAAAGGAAGGAGGACATAATCATTACCTATTTTATTAAGAAGCAATACAATATGCTTCTCAGGACCTGATTTCATCACCATCCTTTCCATGTCCATGCAACGGGTACCAAGCGGATCTCGAGCATCTAACACTTCCAAAATAACATCTGATGCTTCAATTACTTTGACCAACTCCTTGAAGAAAGACCTCTCTGAGTTATCTGTAGAAAAAATCATAAATATAACAGCTGGATACCTGGATATAAGGAAAAAATTCATATTTACAAAATATTTATATTAAACCTACAATTCATCATCCAAACAAAGTCAGCATTAGCATACCCCTGATTTTACCAACTGCAGCGGATTCGTCAGCATCCTTTCCCTCTACAAAATTCTGCTCCTTTGTTGCAGCTATATCAGCCAATTTGGAGATATCATCATCCTCCAGCAAACCCAACTTCCTCTTTTTTGCCTGAAAGTTTAATAACATATGTCCTGGTTATTATCAGAGAGCACAAAGGGCTACTCTTCAAAACAGGAGGATAATATGATAAAAGTTCTCATAGGGAAAACAGGAGGGCCAGGATTACAAACAGAATAAAAAATAACGGCTCGTTTCCAAAATTTATTCAACTCTAACATGAATCAAATTGCTATGCCTCAACAAACATGCGAGCTACTTTTAAATATATGTATTCTTACATACACATGGGGATGATCTGGCGTGTAAAAATAATAAATATATAGCAATAGGACCAATAGCAGCAGGTATATTGGCATCAAATATTACCCTCTCCTTGCGGGCAGCTTTCTTTGCCTCCAACTCCTCGATTGCACGAGCGCGCCGAGCCTCAAGTGCCCTGAGCTCTTGTTCCTTGAAAGGCCAATCATTGGGAATGCCGGGGTCCTTCTCGACCTTAGGCTTTTTATTCAATCCGAGCTTCTTGGCCTCCTTCGCTTTCTTCTTGTGGTGCTCTTTCACCTTTCTGATAATCTTATATTTCTTCCTCAGCGACACCCTCTTGCTCTTGCTCTCTACAGATAAAAGAGCATCACCAACCTCGTACAGAAGATAGACAGACATACATGAGAACGTAAAGATGACGCACTGATTACTTACTTTTGCTCTTCTTCACCATATTTGATGCACTAAGCAAGCCGAGTCAAGAGATAAATCTGAAAGGGAAAAGGCAAAGAACTTATAAGTTGTGTTCCATGCGGAAGTGTTATGTCTACCATGACTTGGAATCCAAAATACCTGCGAGGCTGCGAAGCTTTGCGGAGGGGTGCGAGGCTTTGGAGAACGGACTGATGGAATAACTAGGGTTTGTAATTGAGAGATGACGGTGTTAGGGTTTATGAGTGATGGGTAACCAAAACGGGTCGAAAAAAAAAATTACGAGAATATTTTAAAAAATGGGGTGAGAGAGGCTTGAACTCTCGACCTCAGGATAACTCAGAAGCTATGAGACCTACGCGCTAGCCAACTGCGCCACCACCCCAATGGTCGAATCTGTGAACAACATTAATAAATATATAATATCATGGACACGTGACTCCACCCCTTAAATTGGGCGGACATTGAGTGTATTCATCCATACACACTATAGGAGTAAATTGAAATATTGGTAATGAAATTAGTCGTTTTTACAACCCATTTATTTTCCCCTTTTTTTTAGTATCAATGAGAACTTTTAGCAATTGAGATGAGGGTAGTTCTTAGACAATGTTTGGCAATAAAAATTACACATTTCTGTCATTTCTTTTTTATTTTTTACATTTTTTATATAAATCTATTTTTACAAAAACTACAAAAGTAAAATATATTTATAAATATAAATAGTGATGTTGATCAGACATTAAATTCATCAAATATTAATTCATCTTTAAGAATCATGATCAATGATAGATAAAAGTTATGTAATTAAATTTATTTATTATTATCAATACATTATTTACTATAATTGTGTTAATGACATACGATAAAATATTTAAAAGAAATAGAATGTTAGTAGATCATATGTAATTTGTTATTAACGGGTGACCGGTGACCAAAGTTAATGAATGATACTTTAGTGATAAACAAAATTTTGCACATCTTATGTCAAACTATCAACCTAAACATGAATTTAAAATAAGAAAATTCATTATAGATTAAAACGGAGAGAGTAAAATTTTTACTTTATCGGCAAATTTAAGTAATATCAATGTACTTATTTTTAATAATTTTTAACTTTTATTCAAAAAAATAATATTTTTTTTGTTTTTTGTTGTCTATTTTTGAGTTAATTTAATAACAAAAATAAAAGTACAAAAAAATTTACTTCTTTTAACTAATGGTATATCTGTAAATATTTTTAAATATTATTGGATAAATGTACTTACTATAATATTAAATTCTCATATTACCTTTGGTAAGCAAAAATCTTAACTATCCTATTGCTCACTAGATATTTTTAATTTATGCTGCAATTTATCCAACATAATTTTTATACTTTTTTATTATTTTATTTTTTATTTATTTTTATTAAATCAAAAATTAAATTACAGTTTAAGAACAAACAAAACTGTATTATTAAATTATAAACAAAATTATATTAGAAAGGAGATTGTGAAGAATTAAATTTTAAAAAATATTAATAACTTATATAAATAAATTTATATTTTTTATTATTGTATGATTTATTTTTTTTGATTAAATTAAAAATTAAAATTAGAGTTTAAAACAAGAAAAATTTTTAATAACTTTAGAATTATATTTATTAAACAAAAAAATTATTTTTATTGTTATATATATTATTTTTTGAATGAATGAGCAACTTGGATGTCTTAAAATAATAAAAATTATTTATAATCATTTTACCAAATATCTGTTTATCAAATTTTACTATTTTTTAAGTAGAATTTGCAAATATACATAATTTTTGTACATTCAATATTTTTTAACTATTTTTTAATATTTTTTGAAAAATAATAACTTTCACAAATAAGTATTTAGTAAAATACATATCAAATAAGAACATATATAAACACATAATAAAATGAGAAAAAAATTACAAAGATAGCAAAAAAGAATTCCAAGAAAAAGAAAAAGAACTAGGAGAAAATATATATAAAATGAAAATAAAATAGTAGGGATAAATCTGGAATATAATTTTTACGGGGTGTGTGATAATAGGATAATTTTTTAGATATTTATATTGAAATATTTTTTGACGTTAATTGCAGAAAAATTTAGTTAGAAATAATAATTTATCTATATATATATATATATATATATTTTTTTTTTTTTGGTGACCTCACTCGCTCAGTTAACCAGCTCCAAAACGAATAAATTGGATTTTTTCCATGTCACCCATCTCTGGGCCGTTATGCCGCTGCCAGGAGAGCGACGTAAGGAAGCAGCGTTTGACGTAAAAAACCAGGTTCGCACATATCCAATCCTCATCACCGCCGCCATATTTGCTCTCTGGTTTTGGTTTTAACCCTCTCATCCCTGCTTCTTCACAGCTACTCAACACGCTTAGAACCCTAACCCTAGTTGTTTGATTGCTGTGGACTCTGTCGTTTCAGTGTCCAGAGATTCCAGACTCCTTCAACCTACATTGTCACTTCCGATGGGTAAGCGGAAACTCGTTAAGTGTTCGCATTAACGAAGTCTATTTTTCAGTTTGATTCTTGTTCACTAAATGATTTAGAAATAATGTTATCGTACGCACGTATGTATCCAGATCATATTTTCGGACCACTGAATCAGGAATAATCCGGTTATTGTATTGAATTAGTGGGAAAATTCCGGTTGGTTGATTACTATTGGGCAAGGGAGGTTAGACAAGTCTTTCTCGTTGTTTTTGTTTTCAACGGAGAAACACAAGTTGATAAGGACTTTGTCACGTAGCTTGTAGTTGAGTCGCTGCGCCTCTACGTCAGTAGGATTATGATATAATTCATTTATATTGCATGGAGAATTCACTCTTTTATTCATTCTTGATGGTGAAGCCGTTGGCTTGGTAGCTTGTTTGGGCATATTCATATGCTTATGTACGACGAGAATGCATTGATCAAGACCGGAAATTCTACAAATGGCAGAGTGTGCAGTCATCACATCACAGATCAAGCCACATTTGCAAAGAGATTACATCCCAAATGAATGCTCTCTGTCCAACACTTCATACATCATATTACAAAGGTTTTGCAATATTCCTTCATCTTTTTTAATATCCCTTTTCTACATAGAAGTCCTGGCAGTTTGGTTGTAATTGTGTTAATCCTGGTCAATTTGGTTGGAGTGATGTTACACTTGCCCAATAGACCAGAAGACAGAGGTTTGGGACTGGAAAGATCTATAATATTTAGAACCATCACACATCACAGCTTTTGTGGTCATCTGCAATTATCATCTTTCATTATAAGATTGTTTTCTTATAGGAATGATTAGCCTATCTTATCATTTAGACAGCTCTCACACTTTTGCCTGTAGTCATCCAATTGTTGCCTTAGCTCTAAGTAGCTTCTCTCAAGTAGTAACGATTTTCTCCTATCAAGATTGCTCTCTAACAATGCCATTCTTTTTTTTTTAATTTTTTAATCTTGAGCATTACAAACTCTACAAAGTCAAAAGATCGTGTATACTGGAACTTGTAAGGCAAAGTTGTGTAACTATTTGGGACAACAATAGGCTATGACAATTTATTTATTTCAAAATGATTATAAGTTATGGTAAGTTACCATTTTAAAAAATGATAGGCAGAAATTACTCATTATAGACAAAGATGTCAAACAAAAGTATATACAAGAATTAATGTGATGCTACATCTTGTTTGGACGAAATATTCTAAGAGATAAAAGAGATCAATGCTGATAGTTTTTACTTTGTAGTCCCGAAAGAGTGGATTATTTGCAAAGTAAACTGGCTTCAAGGATTCATGACTGATGTCACAAGCTTTTGAGTAACTGGTTGCATTAAATGGCCATCCAAACATCACCATCCCTGTTCATCCAAACAAGTTTTCTTTTTATCTTCTGGAAATAAAAACTAATGTGTCTACTCTTTTGATAACACAAAAGAAAGAATGCAAACATTAGTAATGCAGCCTAAGCAACTCATAAATATCTATGGAATCTTCCAAAAATTGGATTAACTGTTTAAGATTTCAAGCTTTTTTTTAGTCATGCAAAGCTTAGCTTTTTTTTTCTTCACAGGGTGAATCCTAAGAACTTTATATGGGTTCCTGTTGAATTTAGTCTTGCAATTAATTACCTCTGACCACATCCTGAGAACATTATTTTTTTCAGGCTTAAAAAAGTTAACTTTGATGATTCCATGTTTTGTTTCTTGACATCTATAGTGTCATCAATTAAAAGGCAGACAGAGTTGTTGCCATATGTGATGCTAATAATTTCCTTATAGCGTAACGCAAAACTGTCTTCCCAAACACGCAACGAAATGAACTACAGGCAGCATATTCAAATGGACCCCCTTCCTGTCTCCATGGTGCTAAAGAAGTTCTTCCACACTAATGTGTCCTAGGTACCATAAAATATAAATTTCTGACCCATATGCTTTTTGTTGGTTTTCAGGAGGTGTGCCTTTCAAAGTTCTAGAGTTCCACAATTTTCATCACGGAATAGCTGCAAGTTCAGTATGCTGTATGTCAAAGATCCTAAAGTAATTCCTTTCCCTAAGGAAAGTTCCACGAAGTGTGCTTGCTTTGGGACTTTAATAAACAATGATGGTGTGACAGCTACTGAATGGGTTCCTATTGTTGATCAAGTTCTTTTGATGACCAGTATATTTCTTACTTATACAGCTGGAGTAATACCTGCTAAAAAGTTACTGTTAAGATCCCGAAACGACAAATTGAATGACCTTGCACCTTCTGGAGAGCCTTCGTTTTCTGGTAGGTAAGAGTAAACACATGACAGGTATCTTGGTGAATGACTGTTCTAGTCCAGATTAATCTTTTAGCTATGTACTATGTAGATGTGATGAATCTTGATTCACTTTTTGTTTTGAGTTGTTTTATTGGTTACCAGAGGTTCTTTTGCAGCAGAATTGAGAAAGATGAAGAAGTAAATCTCAAACTTGCTTGGGATACAGTGGAAGAGAAACTTGCAAACGCTCTTAATACAATTGAACATGACAGTGAATTGGAAAGCAGATCTGTTAAGTTCAAGCAAGACCATGGAAAGAGACAGTTAAGCTTGTATGCTGTTGCTGAAGGTCCTAGGTTTCGGTTGCTGTGGAGTTCTTTCCAATGGCTGAGGAAAGAGGCAGGCACAGTCTCTATTGTCATCTCATACTATAATTAGGATCTTTAATGTCATTAAGTCTGAAGAAAGTTGAACATTATGCTGGATTGAGAATTGGTTTGACCAAGTTAAAAAATTTTGATAACTCAACAATTTTTGAGGAAAGAATTTTTCTCCATCAAAGACATGTCTGCTGCATGTTTCTAAAAGATGATCTTTTTCTTTTTCATTTTAGAGCATGGAATTATACTATTTAAACGATGTCATAATACCTCATATTGTATAGCAAATAAACTTGAACTGTTGTGGTACTATCATATACTAAAAGTTTGTTACATATGGTTTACAGGTGGTTGACATCTCAGAAAGACCTGCAATTATTAACATGAATGATTGGTCAAAAGTTTTCTCTGAAGTTATACAGAAGTCATATCAGCCTCTATGCATGAGTTGGCTAGAAAAGGAGCTTTGCTTGAAAAGCAGCAAACCCAATAAGGTACCTTCAACTAACTTAATGTTATAGATTTTGCTTTTCAAACGGCATATTGATTGGTTTTTTCCCCTTATCAGGTACTTCTTTCTTTAATGGTTGAGAAGTTGGTACGAGATGACACTATTTTAAGGAACATCAGAAATTCAGGCAAGGAGGATCTTTATGCTGAACTAACGCATTTTCTTGTGTTTGGTTCCCTCAGGTAAGTTTGGTTAGGTTGGCCATTTTCCTCGAGGGAGAATAAATGATTGCTAATGTTTTGTAGATTTATTTTCCCAGTTGAAGTTAATATGATTTTTTTATTACAGTTCTTTTAAAGCAGCTTTATAACTTAAAAATACTGAGACTCCCTTACTTGGATATCCCATTTCTCATGTAACTTAGCATTTGGCAAGCAGTTAGTGTATTCCGAAGCAGTTAGTATATTCTGATTTCCTCGAAAAATATTTTTCTCTAAGTTTTTCCTGTTCAAAGTCATAGAGAGATTAATAGACACATCCCTTTGCACTTCCTGGATGTGCTCATAGATATTGTGTGTGTTGGAAAATAGCAGTCTTGAAGTAGAGTTTACTTAGACACTACTAAAACATGTGCAAGATGTAGCACGTTGGATCTTGGGTGTGCACATAAGGGAAGCCTTGGAAATAAATCTTTCAACTTTAGGAACTTAGGAAGGGGTGAACAACAAAAAGTTAAATCAAATTCTGTCCTGCATTGGAGGAAAGAAGCATTATATTTTCATTATAAAATTCTGTTCGGCATTGGAGGAAAGGAACATTATACTTTCATTTTCCTTCTGCATGCATGTATTGCACTGAAGGAAGTATAACTTCAGTTTCATTGGAGAATCAATCAAGACAATAAAGTCAAAGAAAATCCTTTAATTGGCAATTCTCTTTCTTACCAAAGATCAGTGCTAATTAGAATTTGAAAAGAATACACTTAAAGGGGAAAATGAGGAAACTTGACTTGGGGAAACCAAAAGAAATTCAGGAGGCCCCATTCCCTTAGTGGAATCAAATACCTTTCACGTGTTTTGTTTTAGAACAATCAATTGCACCATACACATAATCTCTACAAATATTTTAATATTTTCCACATTACAGCTCTGAACACCATTTTATGCATGTTTATAGCTGAATAAATCTTGTTCATGAGCCAAAATTATGTGGGTATATGGAGGAATTTTCTCCTCTTCAAATTGGAATAATTCACTTCGTTGGGCTATTTATTTTAGTCACTATCATGGCTTAGTCTATATTGCAATTGTTGGGTTGGAGCTCAGGCTACTGAAATCAGGGATTTATGAAGGCAATTTTTGGATAAGATGGGGAGGTTAGTTCTAGGAGATTACTTGCGTGACACCTAAATATTAATGCTTAAAAGAGCAAATCTTGTGATTGATTTTCAAAGTGGGAAGTTATGCAATAGACATATTACGAGGAAGTGATATAGATTGTTGGTTAGTTGTGATCATGTTAGGGGAAGTCATGCACTTGGATTGATGGACATTGGATATTGTTATGGATAGCATGGATCACAAAATAAAGAAGTCAATGGTGCCAAAATGGGAAGGAAGACAAATAATGATTTTGTTCCTAATTAAGTAAGTCAATGGCGTCAAAAATGGGAAGAGAGACAAATAATATTTTTATTCCTAATTAGAGGAGTTTATTTTAGCAAGTATTTTCATTGCAATTTAAGTCCTTAATTTAGTTTTCTTCTTTTTGCAAGAATAATTTCCTTTGTAATCTCTATTTAAGAGAACAATGAGAAGAAAATAAAACAAGTAGAATTTTCGTTCAAATTTATAGAGATTTAAGGCTTTCTCTAACGAGCTTAAGGTTAAGAGCTCCCTTCAACGAGTTCCATATATATATATATATATATATATAATCGTAGGTTCTTCACGAAGCAAGAATCGTAACAAGGGAAAGACTGCATCCATGAAGCAGATTTTCCTGTACATCGCCCTGTGACTTGATCCATAACCCGGGAACGTAACAACTTGGTATCAGAGCTGAAGAATTTAGGGCTCTTTTACAAGAAGTTCAGGCAATTAATGAAGCAAGAGTGGCAGAAGTTGAGTCACGAATGTAAGCAAGAATTTCACAAATCGAGACTAAATTGGGAGCTTAGCTGCAACAATTATGACTGCAAATGCAGGAACTTGTTAATAGTCTTCACCAAAATAGCGGCAAGGAGTCAAATGGGGGTACAGGTAATAATAACAATTATGGAAACCACTATTACAAAACTGACAATCAATCAGAACTACAGGAAGAGTTTGGAGTAGCTCCATAGTACACAAAGACTAATTTTCAACTACGAGCAACTTCTGGAGTAGTGCCAAGGTACACAAAAATTGATTTTCCAACTTATGATGGGTCAGAGGATCCACTAATATGGTTACACTTATGCGAGAAATTCGTTTTCCATCATCAAATTGATGAAATAGACAAGATTAGTCTAGCTGTTTTTCACATGTTAGGTGAGGCGCAATTATGGTGTTATTAGATGGAGCAAGAGGAACCGAATCTCACTTGGAAGGCATTCAAGGAATATTGCACTTTGAGATTTGGCCCACCACTACGCGGAAATCCATTAGGTGAATTGGTTAATTTGTACCAGACTGGAACAGTTGAGGGTTATTAGCGCCAATTTCAAGGGTTGTTGGCACATGCTAGTACAGTGCGAATGGATCAACAGGTAGACTTGTTTACTGCAGGCTTAATGGACTCAATTAGGCTTAATGTGGAAATGCAAAAACCTGCAAACCTTGCTCAAGCAATGAGTTTGGCATGAGCTTTTGAGAAGAAGTAGCAACTAGAAAGAGCGGCAGACATGCGAGGAAGTCCTTGGCAAAACACAAGCTCGAACACTAAAGGCACCAACAAGACAGCCACATTTTCCTCTCTTACTCTTCAAAGTAGCTTCAAGCAAGACGGGTTGATGGTGGCAGGTTCGAGTTTAAGTAGTGCAACCCCTCCGTTTATCAAGAAGTTGACTCGTGCGAAGATGGCAGAACGAAGAGCTAAGGGACTCTGCTACAATTGTGATAAACCATATTCATCCAGGCACCAATGTAAAAAATTATTTTGGCTGGAGGTAGAGGATCATGATAGCATTGTGCAGGACCAAGACAAGTGTAGGAAGCCTGAAATATTCAACTTTCAAGCTTGAGGACAAGCTCTTTCTCTAAGAGGGGAGTAATGTTATGGATAGCATGGATCACAAAATAAAGAAGTCAATGGTGCCAAAATGGGAAGGAAGACAAATAATGATTTTATTCTTAATTAAGTAAGTCAATGGCGCCAAAAATGGGAAGAGAGACATAATATTTTTATTCTTAATTAGAGGAGTTTATTTTAGTAAGTATTTTCATTGCAATTTAAATCCTTAATTTAGTTTTTTTCTTTTTGCAAGAATAATTTCCTTTGTAATCTTTATTGAAGAAAACAATGAGAAGAAAATAAAACAAGCAGAATTTTCGTTCAAATTTATAGAGGTTTAAGGCTCTCTCTAACGAGTCTAAGGTTAGGAGCTCCCTTCAATAAGTTCCATATATATATATATAATCATAGGTTCTTCACGAGGCAAGAATTGGAACAAGGGAAAGACTGCATCCACAAAGTAGATTTTCCTGTACATCGCCCTGTGACTTGATCCGTAACCCGGGAACGTAACAGATATATGTAGAATCACAAGAATCCACAAGTTAGTGAAGAAAGCAGGCAACAAATTTCCCACCCGGGAGTCATCAGTTATTCTTGTTTGTTATTTATTTGCTTGTAGGTTATTTTAGAGAAGTTTGTGGACTCTTATAGCTCTCAGTTTTATGTATTCATATTGACAGCATATTCAGTCATGTGTCCGTTCAAATTGCTTCTGAGAGAAAAATTTTGGGACTATAGAAGGCAAACTATATATTCAAAATTATTCAGGAAAGAGATCTGTATAGAAGTGTCAGAAATTCAGTTTCTTTCATCAAATACTGATGGTGCGGAACCTGGACGGGGGTATCAATTTTCCACAAGTACAATATGCACTTTCTACTATTTCCCTTTTTTTTTGAGGGGGGGGGGGGGACACTCCTTTGACCGCGCAATTTTCTGGCATTACTAGGAACTATAGGAAACTGTAACTGTGAAAGTAAGTTCTTTGTTTGGTAATGATATTGATAGCAATCTCACTGGTAAGGAGGTTAAGATAATTATTCATCTCTGCCTTGCTCTTCTCAAACTTACAGTATGTATCATATTAAGAATGGGCAAAGGGGTAAGGTGCATAACTATTTAGGAAGTAGGATGGCTAAATTTTTGGACTTTGTGCCATATATATTTGAGCATGCTGTGCAACTTCTTAGGCCAAAATGCTTAAACTCTAAATGCCTGCCCTATATCAAGGATTCTTATTTTCTATAAAACGTATTTTGGGCCCAAAATGACAGGGCCCCAAAATAGTTCTTTTAGTGGATTTGTCCTTTTCTTTAGATGGGTAATTCCTGAGGTACTTTTGCTTTCTATATTTTGAGGAGGTTTCTCTCAGTGCTTGTGTCTTTTCGCAGGGACTCTAGCTGTTGCAGTTATAGCCTGTTTGCCACCCATTGTGTTGCCCTATTGGAAGATATGGTGATTACTGTAGCAGATGGGATTGCAAGTATGTATTTGGAGCTTATTTCTGTTGATGGTAACATGTCAGATGAAATGGCTTCCCTTGGTTTGATGCTGTGTTCTTTATCAACAAGGGAACTTCAGAAGTTACGCAATGAGGTATTGGTTTGCTGTGGTATGCATAGTATTATGATAATTGATTTTCATGGTGTGTTTGTTAGTTTAGCACACTTGGCTAGTTGCAGCAATTGATTAGATTTGTCTGTTTATTCATAACTTCTAATAGAAACAAGGGGATAGGTTTAAGGCTCATTTAATCCTTATAGAGGTCCATTGTAGTCAGTTCTCCTTGCAATAGGTAAACATTGTTTATGATGTTTGACATGTGGAAATAATATGCTTTTGTCCATGTTATAATGCTTATAATCATTGATTCATGAGAAACCAATGATAATTTTTGAATCAATTGATACCCTCTAAGGATGCTAATTGCTTTCTGTTTGAGACCAGTGAAGCCTAATTATAAGTTCTCTAGGATCTTGGAACCTAAGGCTTAGGCAAAATGGTGTATCACTTGTAAGGTTCATCTAGAGGTCATGGGTTTGACTCTTGAGCCTCCCCCTTCCCCTAGCTTAGGCTTAGGCTTAGGCCTCCAATGTAACAACCCCCCCGCCCCCCCCCCCCCCCTCCCCCAAAAAAAAGGGGGTTCTCTAGGATCCTGTGATATTTCTTTTAATATAGTTGGAATTTTTTTTAGAATCTGGAGTTCTGTATCAGAAATTTTTCTTAGTGTAATGTAGATCACCACTGCTTCATTAATAACCAATTGAAAAACTAACTAAACGGATATATGAATAAGCAACAATACTTTTTGGTAATCGAACTATGAAAATGCAGAGGAAGATAGTTGGGGTTCTCTATTTTTTGTGTTGTTTTGTTTTATTTTGTTCTTTTTGTTTTTGTTTTTGTTTTTGTTTTTCCACCTTTTGGCAGGGTTGTTGGGGAATGTGTTTTTCTTTTCTTTTCTTTTCTTTTTCTTTTTTTCCTTTTTTGGTGGGGTGGGGGGATGGCATGTTATCATATCATTCTTGTTATACCATTGCAGCCTTCTACATTGTGGTTTTGTACCATTTCCAGTGAACTGTCACTCTATTCAGTAACTCTTGTAGTCTAAGAGAAGAATTCTCAGTTTATTTTATGTTTTGCACATCTATAGAATTTATTGCTATGGCAACTTGGAAGATATGGTAACTTTCTTCATTTTTTACCAGTATGAAATAATGCTTCTGTAAACAGGTGGCATTGAACCAGTGGTTGCATCAGAACATTGATGCAGTTGTTTCAATGTACGGGGATCGCTTTGACCTGCACACACTTCAGAGCCAACCAATTGATGAGCCAATAAAGAGTCAGAATGAAAAACTTAATTGGTGGAAGAAGCTCACTCTGAGGAAATCAAGTTCTGTTTCATCACGATTACATCATGTTGCAATACACTTCAGTTCTGTAACTGTTAAGCGGACCAAAGAGTTAAGGGCTTTGACTGGATGGTATGTTTTTTCACTGGTACATTATTGCATGCTTACATCCATACTATAAATCTGATCACTGGAGGGATGCCCTAGGTTTTTGGTATCCTGGGATTGGGTGCTCATAGTTCTTTGTCTGTAACCCCTCACTTCAGAAAGCATATTTTTCTTGACTGGTGGAATTTGCCTGACTATGTGTTTGCCAAAATTAAATACCTCTTACTCATAGGCTTGGATGTGGGTGGTGGTGGCCAAGTGGCAATCTGTGTATGGTTTAATAATATGGCCACATTCTAGTCAAACTAGAAAGGCAATATCATGGGTGAACTAAAAACTGATTAGATTCATGATTGTTCTACATGAAGAGAGTCGAAACAGGAAAACAAAATTCTGTGAGATTCGCAGGAATTTAGTTGGTGCAAGGGGCTCCAAAATAACGGTTCATAATTTAATGTACTTCAGGAGTTTGGGATTTCATGACCTATTAAGGCAATTTATTAGTGTTTCAGAACAAAGTATTCCATTCATTCTGCAGCTCTGAGGTCTGACCAAACAAAACATCAAGATTGGAAGAAGATAATACCATAACTGCATGTTTGAAGTTACTATTGCAGGGCGATTTTTCGTTAGAAAAATAATATTAATATGTCAGAAAAATGTATTGGGTCAGATGAATAATCATCTCTAAGTTAAGCTGCTGGTTGAGAAAGATTATTAATATATACACGGGGAATGTAATGGTGCAACCTTGTATGTAGTAATAAGAGCTTGTGTGGTGGTTGTGATAGACTTCACATACAAAAATTCTATATGAATTTAGGTTCCAATTACAGACTGGACTCCGGAGAATAAATTTCTAATTGGACCACTTTTAGCAGTTGCTTTGCTTTGGCTTGATGCCAGAACTAGGAAATTTACTTCTATTGATGAAAGGTCCTGATACTAGTTCTTCAGCTATATTCATTTAATTTAATCTCATTCTCAAATTTCCTTCCCACATATTTTCCTGTGCAGATAATTTGGATACATCAATTATTTCTTGACTTCTTAATGTCATAATTTTGGCTTGCAGGAGGTACTACTTCAGCCTCTTTCTCGAGTTATCTGACATTATGATGCCGTTTATTAAAACCCTTGTTTCTAAAGTTAGCGATGCCATTTCATTTTTTCTGGTTTGCTTAATTGGGCGGTCACTAGGTCTTATTTACACTGGCATAAGGCAGTCCCTTCGATGGAAGTGATATATATACATGAACTGCCATCCTTGTCCTTTGCAATTTTGCTGAAAACATGGAAAACCATCTGATTGTTTTGGCTCATTCTTTATCTGGGTCCTTGTCAGGTACCTTCACAGCTACTAGTTGTTTTCTCAGAAATTCTTTGCGCCATTTTTGAAGTAAGGCTTGTATGTAGTTCCTGAACTAATTAATCAAATGTTAAGACTGGTCATTTTAGGAGGAAAAGAAAAAACATAGGTCATTTTGAGATTGCTTTCTGTTTGAACACTTGAACTTAGTGTTGGAGTTTCAAAGTTCCAATCTGCCTTTGGTAATTTGTTAATTGCTAGCATGTTTCTAAACTTTATTTCCTTGCTATATTCCACTGATGTTAAAGTTTGTGAATGTTTGCAGCTCTGCTTGGTTTATTTTGTTGATGTCAATGAATAAGTTTATCAAACATTTTAGTTAAATAAGTTACTGATTCTTAGGAGTTTTTCTGGTTAAAATAATTTGATTCCTCTTCGTTTAATTCCATAAGCCACTTGACTACCAAGCACAATCCCAGTGTCAGGGAAAAGTTACATATCTACCATGTTTAAACCTTTATGAGGTGGAGGATTGAGATATGAAAGATCCTTATTCAAATGCTTAATTCTTACAAATTAAATGCATTCATTAAAACAATTGTAGTCCCATTTTGATTAGAAGCGGTACCACTTTGGACAAAGTGAAGTGTCTAGCAAGAATAAAATAGTATTATTGTATTGATAACAGACGGTTATCTGTTCTTTCATTGAACTTCCGAACTTTGATGCTACTGAACTTTCTTAAATAACCTCGACAAATGTATGAATGTTGAACAGGTATTATTTGATGATAACGGTTGCTGAGAAGTTTGTAAGGGATTGAATGGGGGCTACCATATCCACTTACTTTACTTGCTTATTCATGTGGTTAGTAGAGGTGTTCGTGGTTTGATTTAGTTCAGTTCAATTTGATGTTCAAATTCAAACCAATTCATATTTTACAGTTTGTAATTTCTATAAATCAAACCGAAACACGGTTTACAGTTTGGTTTAGTTTCAAACCACGGTTTGTGATTTACAAAATAAAATGAATTAAATTTACTATTTTTATAAAAATTTTAACGGAATTTTCTTAAAAATTAGTCATTCATTTTTTTTCAACATGGTTAACTTAATAAATTTATTATTTATTAATTAATTATAGTAGTTATGCATGTTATGATAAATATATTTATATTATTTTACACAATTTCATTATTATTAATGAAAATTATATTCTAAAAAAGAAAAATAATCAATTATTAGAATAAATATAAATATAAAAGATAAAAAAATATACAATCAACTAATAAAAATAAATGATATATATATATATATATATAAGATTTTTAGTTTTGTATATATAGAAACTATACGGTTTGATTTAATTTATACGATTTGTCTGGATATCAAATATTAAACTAAGTCACAATATACGGTTTGATTTGTGAAACAGCCTAATGATTAGGGTTAAAAGGGGAAATGTAATTTGACTATATACTTGTTCACGCTTCAATTTATATGTGATTGTTATTCTCTCTATCTCTGTCTATGTATATGTTTGTTTGTGCATATATGGCCTGGGTTTTTGCCTTGCACGTGAGCAGGGCTACCATTTGAGCAAATCTAATTTGCTTAAAACATTTTCAAATTTAACTCTAGTTATTCAAAATCTAAACCAAACTATATTACCTCAATTGGTTTGAAAAAGAATAAATTAGCTTGCGTTCGGTTGGATTGGGTTGGATTTAGGCAATTTTAAGTTAATTTGATTGGATTTGATGGGTTATTTTTAATTAATTTAGATTGCAGTTTAAATATGAAATTTAATTATCCTATCATGATCGTGAGGAAAAGGGTGGGGGAACACACACATGAGGAAAATGACAGGCACATAGGTAGGAAATGCTTTCCAAAAGATCGCGAAAGCAACAGGACATTTCAGAAGATAATCCTTGTGCCCTACCACCTTTACATTGCAATCTCTTTTGATTTATGAGAAACTTCTAATTATTATGCACTAATTAAACCACTACGCCCACGCCTTTCCATAAAGCAAGGCCTCCCACTTTGAGCCCCTCACTTTTCATTACCAATCTAATCGTAAACAATGCGAAGTGAAGCCCCATTGTCAATTCATGCTTCTTTCCTACTTTCAAGCCACATGCATTTTATGGGCTACTAAAAGCCAGCTTTCTTTATTGGGGACCCTAAAACAGGGTATGTCCAAGATTAATCAAAGCATGAAGAGTGATAGCTTGAACGTGTATATGGTCACTATCTCTCATTGTCTCTTGGCTTTGGATTATCTTTTTTATATGTTGTATATTTTAGGTATTTTTATTTATTTTACTGAAACTAGTCTTATTTAAAATACTGTAGTTGTCTTTTTCTAGATATTCATTTTTGCGGATTTAAATCTAATTTCTTTTTATAAATGTAACAGTGTTTTACTATATTAAGTTGTTAAGTGTGTACTTGAGTTAACAATTCTTAAGAACACTTCTTTTTAAGGTATTGTGTAAGTACGATAGTTGTTTTTTCTCAACAAATAAAAAAAAATGAAAAGAAAAAGAAATATTATGTAACCGGTTCTATGGTGAGTGGGTCCAAAACTTGGATTTTCTTACACCAACTCCAACGTTTCAGTCTCTACAACCTTCAATATTTGCCATCTTAATTCTTTGTCGCACACAGTCATTAGAAGAAATAAAGTCCAAAAGTGATTTCATGTTACGAACTCCATGTGCTAAGAAAAGACTCACTTCGCCTTGGCGCGAACTTGGTGCAAGCCAACTGCTCGTTTTCCTTCTCTTTCAAAAACTTGTGAGTTTTATCCTTTGAACCCAACGACACACAATTCATTTTGTGGGTCATATAATTGCCATTTGTCTTGTCAAATGGTTGCCACTTCTTGTGTGTGAGTGATGTATTGAATTTGAAAATACGTGATGAGATGTGTACTTTTTCTTTTATTTGAACAGGAAGTTATTTATATAATTTCTTGTGTGAACGCGTCAAATTTTAAAGTTATCCCGTGCGACAGGAAGTACACTTGTTACATCTGACTATCCGAGTAGGAGGGGAGTGATGGGCCACAAGGAGGGACTTGTCATCACAAGACACCATTGCCATGATGCTTGCCACCTCGAGTAGGCCTTAATGCTCAATTTTATTTTATTTTTTTTCAAAAAGAACCATCAAAATTTTTTGAAATACATGTAACAGATATATATATATATATGTATAAAACGATAACTTCCATATATGAAATATGATGATCCTTTTTGCATACTATACAAAATTATCTACGGAGGAAGATAGTGTATCTGTGAGGACCATACTGGCCTTTGCCGGTGTCTACATGTTTTAGTCTTTATTGTTTTGGCGGTGCAAGGAACACGACATGGAACGATTAGGGCAGGTGGGACTTTAGTGATTTCATACTGATAATGAAACTTGAATGTGTTAGTGACATTGGGATGAGGGAGACAGAGAGAGAGAGAGAATATCTGGCTTTCTCTTCTATTTTTTTATCATTTTGTGGAGTGATGCAATATACCACTTCTAACAGTTCTACCACCTTCAATCTTAATATCCATTAATTACTCATTAGGAAGGAAAAACAAGGGAGCCAAGTCATTCTAATCTGTTTTTATTTGTGTCTTTCAACTTGTTTCCCTGTGCTGCAGACTGAAATTGATACATAAACAAACATCATATCCTTCTTTCTGCACTTTACAGATAACATGTTTGATTTCTTAAGCAAGTGTTTTCATTTGTATTCTGTTTTCCATTTTCGTTTTTCTTTCTCCGTGTTTTGGAAAACGGAAGACACTGAGAATCTTTAAAACCCAATTGAGCAAAAAGAAGTTTCTAAGCATTTTGAGAACATCTAACAAGGGACTTGTTTTCTGAAATTCTCTCGGAAACAGGTTCTGAGTACAAGTTGCAAACAGTTTCCCTTCTCTCTTTTTACGAAGGTGGTTTTTATTTTCAAAAAACAATCCACCCTAGCAAACAAACACAGGAGCCGTAGACACTGATCAAACAAAGCTGCAGTCCAAAAGTTAAAGTTGCCATAGCTCTGCAGCTTGCTCAACTTGCTTAGGCATGTCAACTGCCAGAACAATACCACTGCTCCCTCCACTCCATCTTCTACTTCTTCCTAGTTTCTACACAGTTTGGTTTATTCAGTTGGGTTTTAATCGATTCTTATTATTTTCTAATTTTCTGAGGAGGAATTTTCTCTATTCTAAATCTGGAACTGTTCATGTTTGGGATTAGGATTCTGCTAATTAAGTTGGTATTTGTTGGGTTCAAATGTCATGATTTGCACGCTAACGGGCACAGATCTTGGTTAGGATCTCTACTTCCACATGAGATTTTGAAAAACACTTTTGTTTTGTTATATTCCATTCTGTTTATTTTCTGCGTAATATTCTAGAATCATCAAACCACTCGGGTTCTGAGGACGAAAACTAGGTGAAAATGGGGCCGAGGGGGGAGAAAAGGCACCATTTGCTTCCATACTAGGTCAGCTTTTCTTTATTTTTTTCTTTTTTCCCCCTCTCAAATTAAGCATGAATGGGTGGTGAAAAGAATAAGAAAGAAAATGGGTCACTAAACTGTGACAATAAAATGCTTTTGAAAAGCGATTCCTTTATGCCAAAAAACTGCTTTTGCTTTGAAAATTCAGCTTCCACCATAAAGTAGGAATTGGATTTCTTTGCCGCTTGATAAGAAAAGAGTAAAAAAGATGCATCCAGTTCCTGGGTTGGCACAACAAATATAGAATGAATTCCATTCATTAATTCCTGGCTCTCACCTGTCACTCTTGTGATTTTCTCAATTTTGCAGGTCACATCCCCATCTTTCATGCAATCTAAATTTGTGAAATGGGTTTTTTTAAGGGAAAAAAATCTAAGTGGATATGCTTAAAAAGATTAAATAGAT